AATTATTATTGTTTCATTTGCTCTGATTCAATATTTAGAGCCGGTTTAAAATTTTGAAATGTGGCAAATGTCAGGAAGATATTTTGCAACTTACTCATTACGTTATTTTGTAATGAGCTCTAACTGTGACAAAATTGCTTTCATCAGCTAGTTTAAGCAAGCCGGTGCTTCGCGTACTCAAACATTTTTAATTATAGTATGTTTTCATAATAAAATTGTTTTATTCCGTATTTAACACATTTTTTCGCGTTTATTTGCAAGCATTCAAAATGGAGAACTCTGCTGAGTAATTTCAACTCAAATGTATGCTTTCATATTTTTTTCAACATACGAAATATATCGTTACGAGTATTTTCAACCGAGTGAAACTGCGATACTTCATAATTGGAAAGTATTCACTCGGAAATGAGAGTCTGTCATCAAAGATTCTGCATCAAGAACTTTAAGATGCTGACAGTCATCTCAAAGTTTTATCACTTCGTGCATATTTTAGTTCTTTTTCGCTTTGCTGTATATTTATCGAAGCGACACGCTTTTGACGGTATATCTATTTTACCTTCATATTGAATGTAATGTTATCTTCAACATCTCGACACGTCAAATATTCATGAACATTCTTTACTCGGTAGTATTTGATTTATCACTTTTTGAACTTTTTTTATTTTTACACGTATATATCTTATTTGTATGTTTCAAGTACTAATTGGTTTGCGACAGGTAATAAAAATATGTATTGGACTCACAACATAAATCCATTTTCTAAAGCTCTCTTCATTTAAAACCTTTTTATCATCGCACTTTTATATTGTGCATTAAATTATAAATAAAAGCATCGAACAATATGATTTATAAAGTACATCTTTTAAAGTTTCTAATTAATGTTTCCTTAATTAACATTTGTCTTTCTCTTAGAATATCGCGTTACTAGACGAAGAAAATTATGTATTCTTTAACTAGCAATTAATTATCTCGCAGATAGCGAGAGTAAGACGTATCGAATTACGAATGAACGTACAAACTCAAGAGTTGTCGCACGTTAATAAAGACTGCATTACTGCTGTTTCACGTTTCTAAAGGGAACTAAAATAATGAAGAGCATGAAGTAGTCTCGCTTTACCCTTTTAGTTGCGCAAGTAATGTATATATACAACGTGAATGCATCGCGTATATACATTAAACTTTGCTCAAAGTTCACTTAAACATACGGCAATTTTTCGTATTAAATTAGTGAGCATTAAAATCATCTTATCCTTCTCAGTATTTGTAGAAATATAACGACATAACTGACCTCAGATAAAAATTTTTTTATCTCAAAGTAATATAATAAGCATAGACACACAATGTAAATACGTGTTGCTTAAAAATCTGGTATTTTATAAATTCCGCTTAATTTTTATTAAGAATTGTTTATACAAATGACACTTTATTTGTTCCATTATCGATTATTACAACTATTAGTGGCCTATTAATGACTGTTATTGAAGATCAATTTTACTTCTTTAATATAAACAAGAGATTTTGTAATGTCTGATGTAAATACATTTTTTTTTCACACAGAACAAAATCTCTAAAACATCCATCTTGACTGTTATTAATTGGCATTTGATAACTGTTTTAATTTTTTCCTTCAATATAGCAAGCCCGGTCTGGAATTTGTCGATTCTCTCTATAAAAGAGTGACGTCGTAATTAATCTGATATTTATGCGGACCATTTTCTCGCGGATCAACGAGCCATTCGATACGAGAGAGCTGCGCGCCCGCGATAAGATTCTCGCTGATTCGAGCGTCTCGCTTTTTCGGCGCAAATTTACATTCGCCCGAGCTGTGGAAATATTCAGCTGCGATCCGCAGGTCGATAAATCCGCAGTCGAGGAGGACGACCGAGATTGAGTCATTAGTTACGAGGATAAGACTAATGACCCAATCCCTCGAACGTAATAAATCAGTTTCCCGAGTGGGTAAACTTATTCGGCTTACATCGGCCAGGCCGCTGTAACCGAGTGTAATGGCGAGCATTCGGTTCAGGCACGAGTAACGTACCGGCCGGCAGCGGTAAATGTAGTAAATTCGCAGTTATGAGCTGGTTCTGCGAGTATTCCCGCCTGATGATTTAAGAGGGACCATACGATAACGCGGCTGACACGGTAATGCGATTAATGGCGTCTCGGATGTCACAACAAATGGAGACTTAATCTCCAATCCTTGCGATTATTTTTTTTTTGAGATCACGGTAAAGCTTCACTGCGGTCTCTCGCCTCCGCGAATCTGCTTGCGGAGAATTATTCAAGTAGCGGCGATAGCCGCGGCTTGAAAAACGAACAATTAATTAGAAACAAATAATGAAGCGATATATCTGAAAGAGCATTTATAGTATTTTGCTATAAAAATATTCTATCTTTAGCACGTACTCCCGAATCCGCACGTTTTCTCGCGATTAATTATCTTAGCGTATGGGCGATCACGTTTGCCGCGTTAATACTTGTTTTAGTTGGCACTTGCTTGCAAAATGATAATATATTGTGGATAGCCCGATGTTCAGTTTAGATCAGCGCTCGGAATTAGTTGCACATTTCGGGCCGATTCCCGAGACGACGCCTCCTGTTCCCCCACTACCGCTCGACCGCTAGCGGTCGAGCCGCCGATAGCTCTGGCGCAGGAGCGTTTTATATAAGAAATAGGCTGGGTTGTTGAGGCACCTCTCAGAAAATAGTAATATTTTCTTTGCTACATAAATAATGTTTATTTTCATTAATAATTAAATATATATATATATTATGTATTAATAAAAATAAACATTATTTATGTAGTGAAGAAAATGTTACAATTTCCCGAAAGATGCCTAAACAATCCAGCCTATTTCTAATATAAAACGCTCCTGAGCCAGAGCTATCGGCGGCTCGGCCGCCAGCGGCCGAGCGGTAGTGGGGGAACAGGAGGCGTTGTCTCGGAAATCGGCCCGAAATGTGCAACTAATTCCGAGCGCTGGTTTAGATAATCCACTATTCATCTGAAGTGTATACATTTATATAGGAGCGTTAGTTTCCTTTTTAATTGTGTAACTTACGTAACTGGACAACATACACAAACTTTGCTTTACGTGAAGGATAAATTATGCATTTCCTGAGATTATATGCATAACTAATATCATTATTTGCAAATGGATTACACGGAATCATCTGCATCTCCGGAACACTACGGTTAAAAGTTAAAAATAAAAAATTGTCTTGTTCTTTGCGTCACGTATATTCAAGAATAGATTTTATCACTTTTGTTCTATAAAAGGATGCATCTTTCGCAATAATAGTCACATTTATCGAAATAAAAACGTGAGAATTTGTTTTTGAACAATTACATTTACATACAATAGTTCGTAAAAATTTCAGATGAATGTGAATTTATAAAAACATTACTTTGAATGATTTTAATATATGAATACAGTGCAATAAAATGAATAAATAAATGCAAAATATAACATAAAAGTGACAAGAGGGCTGTAAAATTTGTAAAAAATTTTTGGTTTTGTTTTGAATGCGAATTATTTTGTATGTTTGACAAAAATCCCAAAATTCGCGAAGCGTTAATGGCTTTCAACTTCCAACAATTCAAGAGGAATCGCATTAAATGTTCTGAATACTCTTGTAACGACATATCACTATTCAGCATATTTCAGCAGAATGATGTAGAACATATTGACATATGACGATATATCACCGCTCATTGAAATGTGTGTCTCGTTGAAAGATTATTTCATGTGACCGACGTATACCCATTTAATATGTGAAGATGATATCGATCGAACAGTTAGCCTTGGAAATTACCTCTTGTGACTATCAACAAGTTTAAACATACCATACACACGCACACATATATTCGCACTTCTCACACGTATATGTTAAGCAATCGGCTCGAAAGCATCTATATTAACGATTGTTGATTCACCATCGTCATAAATTGACCGATCTGGTAAAAATATCGTCTTTAGCGCGAGATTTGTACGCGACAAGTGTGATATGGAAAGAAAAAAATAATTATTAACGAATGTCTATGTAAATTACCAATTATTGCTATTCGTGGAAACGTTTTGTTGATAAATGAAAGATATATTGTGCTTCGTGGAAACGTTTTGTTAATAAATAAAAGATATTCGTGTTTCGAAATGATTTTCAAAATAGCAATTAAAATCTTGTAGCTAACATAATAATAAAGAGCACAATTGTTCTTTTTAATAAAATAAACATTACAAAATCTTGAAAAATATATAAGAAGACAGTAGTATAATTAAAAATTTGCTTATTATTTTAGTAATCTATAACTTCAGTTTGAAGACAAAACAACTTCCGGTGCGAATCATTCTTGAGTGGGCGGCTTTGAATAGAATTTGATTTGTTTACGTCGACGTAATTAAAGTACGAGAGTTAATTAAATTTTCACAAAATATTATGCATTTGCATTATGCTAGTACCTAAATAATGCCAGAATTTTATTACAATTAAAAATTTAATGGCCAATTAGACCAACGCAAGTTATCAAAACTTCAGATTTTAAATCGATTTGACATAGATTTATATATGCTTAAAGGATTCTTTTTAGCTTATGGCTTTCTCAAATATTTATTATGTGTAATCGTATATTCTGCTTCTTATTTACACAGCCGCGTACTTCTATCTTCTGTTTTATTTACTAACTATTTGTTTCATCACTTCTTTAATGTTCGTACGAATATCTTTCTTTCTCTTTTATTTATTTCTAGTTTTCCTACACACATATTTTATCTCTCTTTTTCCTTTTTTCTCGTTATCTTTTTCGTTTATGTTTCTTTTTCGCTGTCGCGTGTAGATATAAATAAATATACTTGTATTTTTTCCTTCTCCCACTCTTATACAATATTCTACCTGTCCCATTCGTGCGCTGATCATCTCTCTCGGGACTATTTTCGATATCCCTTCTTGAATTCGCAGCCGTGATCGGATAGAAGTATAAATGATGCAATGCGGACGCTAAAGTCGATAAAGCTTTAGCGCGGTGTCCTATCATGACACGCCGTGTTTCTCTTGTTCAAATATACGCCTGTCTGGCGTTTGTCATCGCTATCGTCACGACCGATCAAGGTGAGTCGTAAAGAAAAAAAACGATGTCTTATTTTCTTGTTATATATATAATTAAAAATTTTTTAAACATTCTCAAAATAACCACCAAAAATTAAACTTCTTACTACATCAGATTTTAGATCACTGCAATCTGTGCAATTGGCAGAAATTAGTTCTCTATTGGGAGAAATGACTTTCTTGGTAAAATAAATTATTTCGATTCTTTCTTTTCTGTGAAGATGTATGTGATAAGACAAAATGCTTGGGTCCGTTGGAGTATTACAAACTGCTTGATTGTAAACCCGTGTACGAAAAAGAAGGCGATTGTTGCGCGATAAAATACAACTGTGATCATCTAAAAGAGAGACTTAAGGACAAATGTTATGTCAACGGCAAAGAGTACCAAATCGGTGAACATCTCAAAGATGAAGATAGAAATCCTTGCGATATTGGATGCACTTGTATTGAAAATAATGGAGTGTAAGTACGACGTTGACGTAAATAAATCATTTTAACGTGAGTCGCGCCTATTAAAAAGTAGTATTGTCATAATTTTATCAACAAAAAAATTAGCAATAAAAAAAAGTAACTTTGTTGAATAATAAGAGAGAAAAAAGAAAGAGAATACTTTTTATTAAATTATCTAAAAATTGAACACTTTATTTATTTGCAAGTATCATTTTGCATAATACAATGCACAATTCTAAGTAAACGTAAAAATATATGTCAGTTTCCGTTACTGTTTCGTGTGGTTTTATCTGAAGAGAGTCTAGTATTTTTCTACAAATAATGCGACAATCATAAATATTTAATACAGCCATCAGTCGTTCAGTGCATTTTCTTCCGATATTATGAAAGATTCATGTACGACGTCACATTATTCAAATTACATAACATTTTCTCATACGCATCGACAGTTCAGGATTATCCTGTCATAGTAACATGTGTCAGATATGTGAATATAATTTATGTATCCTGTATTTCTTCATAGCAGGAGAAATATTGTTTAGCATAATTTGTCCTTGTAATAGATATTTCACGGATTTCTTTCACTTTTTCGCGAATTTCTGTTTATTGAAATAATGGCGAGCCTATTGGTCAAGCCGTTTACAGTCTCTATCTATTTTATTAATATAACTGTTTAATACCTTTGATGCAAATGTCTATGGAAAATTTAATTCCGCGACATAAACTATTTGAAACCAAATAAAATCAAATATTTATTGCATTAGTTATAGCTTTTAGAAATAAACTTGCATTTTTATTACCCGAACAATTTAATTTTTTTAAAACAGCGCTGCATTTGTTTGCGCTGGTATCGATTGTGTTTTCGCACCTACGAGGCCTGGATGCTTCAGTCGAAGTATTCCGTCACAATGTTGCGGTAATGAAGAAGTTTGTCGTAAGTACATTCTTAATGAAAAGTTACAAATTGTTTACATGCTTAAAACCGAATATTGTGCATCAAAATTCCGCTTGAAAATACACAATATTGCAGATACACTTTTGTTATTAAAATTTGTTATTCAAATAATACTTTGACAAATTGCACATGGAATTGGCATAGCTCAGTAACTTCATAAAAGCAGGTGTAAACAGAGTTTTTCATTTATCTTATAGCTGAAAACCCAGAAGACAGAGCTACTTGCGTAGTAGACGGAAAGACATATAAAGATGGCGAGTATTTCGAAGTAAAAAATGAACCTGATATGACTTGTATTTGCAGACCGGGATACGAAGGTAGAGCTAATGTTTACTATTTTAATGAAATCGCACAATTTACGCGTGCTCTTTTAACTCCCAATCAAAATGTTAGGTACATTTATCTTGATTTTCATTTTAATGTTCTATTAGGTAAAAATGTCGAGCCTTTCTGTGTCAAGTCCAAACATCCATATTGCAGTCCTGACTTCCGTAACGCGCGGGATATTTCTGAGAACTGCGCTCCAGTGTTTTATAGCGATCAACCGCCTCAAACTAGCTGTAGCTTGAGTACGAGATGCCGTAAGTTTGCGAGAGCAATTCTGAGTGCAATGCGAATTATTTTGCCGCCGTGCTACTCGCGCCGTGACACTATTGTTGAATTTTTCAGAAAATGATAACGACACCGTCATTCACAATCATGACGATTTGAAATCTGGCGAAACTTTAAATGGTACGTTTCATGTTAATTTTTTATATGTAAATTTATCATGCAAAAACGCATACAATATTCACAAGATATGCTATACATTGCTCTAAAAGTAAATTGTTTCTAAAATTTATTAGGAAATATTTATATCTCATATTCAACGTTGAAACATTAAATGGCTACATTTTAGTTTGCTGTAATTTAATTTATTATGTTTCCATTTCAACTGGAACTTTTTGCACAAAGCATTCTCTATTATTTCTTCAATTAAATGATATAATTTATTTAAAGTTTCTAAATCATTTATTAAGTATCTGATTACACTAGTTTCTTAAAATACACTAATAATTTTTAGAATTGGAGTAGTAAATATGTTTATAAAGTCACACGTGAAATAAAATGTTCAATTTTTCACATTATTCGAACTCTGATTTAACTTTCTTTTCTTTTATTATCGAGATTAATTTATTCGTCATCTAAAATAAAGATTTATACTTTGTGAGAAATCAATTGACTAATTTGGAGATTATACTATATATGAGATATAAATGAGGCATTGACATGCGCTTGAACACTCAAGCGATACTAACTACTAGCGTACTGTGAATTCTGGCAAATAGGAGGTAATTGCGACAAACGTTGCATGCGGGTAACGAGTAACGCGCCAAATCAATTTCTATAGCGTGTTAATATTATGATCCTGTAAAATGGTAACTAATTTTATCACGCGTTCTCAATTTGGCAGACATAGAAAATTCAAATAAATTAATTTTAACATTTCACACTCGGCATTCATAATCATAATTTATTGAAGATTACTTCTTTTTAGAAGAGAATGTATGCCTACTTGGTAATCTGAAGATGCATATTGGCGACGAACTAAGCAGAGGTACAGATTACAGTTCCACTTGCGTTAAGTGCATTTGCGAAGTGCCACCTGTACCAACCTGCCAACGATTGTCAGATAACGAATGTGATTTTTCACCAATTTTTTAATTATTATACTGAGACATACATGCGCGCGTGTAACGCGCGCTTTTTTTCTATTCTTTCCTTTTGTTCTTTCCCTTTAATTGTATCTGTATTTAAACACTTTAAACTTGTTAAACAGCTACTAAAATAAAGTTGTCAAAATACAAAGTGTCAAATTTAATCATTCCTATAACAATCGATCAATAATAAATAAAATCGTCTACGCGAACTTGGCAATAGACAAACCGATCGATAACCGTCGCGATGACAACGAAAAGAGATCTCAAAAGTAAATAATATGCCTTTTTCAAGATAGGATAAAACTTACGATATTGTAATTACGTGATTTTGTTATTATTGCAATTATACGATTTAAAATATTATTGTAAATTTATTGGATATGTAAAAAAATTAAAAATACAATAAACATTTACTAAAAATATACATCTATCTGGGAGAGATTAAAAGTAGACTTTAGAAAAACAATAAACATACGAATGACAGAGATAAAATAACGTGATGCTGAAGGGATTAAATTTAATTGTAGTAAAAATTAATATTTTCATGAAAATTTTATACACATTTATTATTAAATATCGAAATAATTCAATGTTATATTTAATGAAATTTTTTAAAATATTATAATAACATTGTTTATATAATATTACAATTAGATTTTAAAAATTACATTTTTTGTGTATTTTTGAATATCGAAAATATGAAAAATTACAGCAATTCGCTATTGTCGCCGTATTGTGATATTTCACAATAATTATGGATGAAAATTATTTTCGGACAATTTAATAAAATTCGGAGCATTATGTAATAGCGATTCAAGGTAAAAATTCAAAATGAAAAGCATTTACTTGAAGTAATTTACTTGAACACAATAACAATTATTGCGTAATTTGTATGGATGCAATTATGATTGATGAAGATGACAAATTATTCTCTCTAGTTAATTTTTCTCTTCAATTATTTTATTTTTTTAACGTTTATATACATTGTCTTTCTTTCTCGATTTATTTATTACATTCTTCTTTGTCTCTTTCGCTTGTAATTCTCTTTGTCATTTCTATCCTTCTCTAACATGTTTGCCTCTTTCCCTCTTCCTATACACCTTCTAGCTCTCTTTTTCGTACGCATTTCGTCTCGTACTCGCTTACATACATAACCCTTCCTCCTACATCGCGTCACTCCATCTCTATCATTTGCGTGGCCATCGTCTCTCTCGAGTCCATTCTCAATCCCTTCCAGATGGGTCAGTCACGAGTCGAGTCAAAGTATAAATGACGCAGTGCGGTCGCAAAGTGCGTCAAAGTTTTCACGGTGCTCAATCATGACACATCGTGGTTCTCGTTCTCTCATTCGTATATACGCCTGTCTGGCGCTCGTCGCCGTCACGGTCGCGGTTGATCAAGGTGAGTCGCAAACATAGGCAACGCTCGCATAAATCGTACGATCTCGATTCTTATAAAATTTAGAAAAGTTTATCGTTATATTTTTTTCGAAAATTTTTAATTGGTTTAGCAATTGTACAAACTTTGACACTTTAACTAAATAAAAAAAGAATAAAATTACATATACAATATTTTTTATGTAATATGAATTATGTCTTATATGAATTTACAACGCAATTTTAACACAAACACATACCGATAAAATCACTCGTTTTCATTTAATAAAACAATAATTTTTTCTTATCAAATCGTTCTGACCTTTTTTATCGTAAAGAGGAATGCGATAAAACAAAATGCTCCGGTCCTTTGGCATATTACGAGGCTCTCGATTGTAAACCGGTGTATGAACACGAGGGCGATTGTTGTGCGATAAAATACAATTGTGAGCATTTGAAAAAGAGATCGAAAAACAAATGTTACATCAATGGCAAAGTGTATGAGATTGGTGAGTCCCTCAAAGATGAGGATGCAAATCCTTGTGACATCGGTTGCACCTGCATCAGCGGACATGACGGAATGTAAGTGCGACTTTAAAATAAAAGTATTCTAATTTCTTTATCTTAATATTTAAATTATTTATACAAATT